TCACTTATTTCACCAAGTGACTTCAGCTGTTCCCAGAATAACTGGCTTCCCCTAACAGGTCAAGCATCACTCTCTTCCTGTATGCGCTCCCATTATCCCTTACAGCTCCTTTCTCCACACTCTTCCCAGCTGCTCGCCTATTCAAAGCTGGTACTGGGATTTCATTTATACTGTTTGGAATACTCACCACCTCCTCTGTCCTAGTAATTCTCCACCATCTTTCCAGTTGACCCACTGTTGCTTGTCCCCATGCTCCTGGTTTGTTTTCTTCACACTCTGGTTGCAATGGTTTTGAGGACTGAGGTGGTACCTTTCCCTGTGGCTTTTCTCTTCAGACTGAATGTTCCCTGATGCTAGAGACTGTGTGCGTCTAGGAAGTACCACATACACTTGCGGGGTACTGTGTAAGTGCGGGTCTGAACGCATATATGTTGTAGAATCTGTAAGTGCAGCTAACATCACCACAGGAGAGCACTGAGCTACTGATCTCAGAGGCTGTGAAGAGCCCAGGTTCCCACGCCCACTCCCCACATTCCCTGGGAACTGCCTCTAAGGCCACCAAACATCGTTGGGTGATATTTTAGACAAAAAGACAAAAGCTATTCATATGAATGAACCAGATTTCATATTTACAGTCCAGCACCGACTGCCAGTGGCCCCATGCAGCCAGTGTGCAAAGGCCTGCTTTGAATGTATCAGAAAAGACGAAATTACAGTATGACTGCCTTTGATGTCCCGTCTGTTTCGTCTTCCCAAATAAAAGGGAAACTGGCTCCAGGCTGATTTTTAAATGGCAAAAATAGACTAAATTCCAACCCTTAAATTATCAAAAGTGCCACATACTTGACAGGCAGCTGAGCAGAGAGCAGAAACCACCAAGTCAGTAATTAAATGAGCTTAAGTCAGATTAACAGAGACAGACATTCTTGTCTGGCGGTCACAGTGAAGCAGAGGCCGAGGAGCCCTGGTTCTAGCTCTGGTGCCTGTGTGCGTCAGACTCAAGTTCTGATATATGACAACGGTTCCCCCATTTGTCCTCCTGGAAAGGCCCCAAGGCAGTGGTTCTCAACCTCCCTAACACCGTGACCCTTTCATACAGTTTCTCATGCGGTGCTGACCCCCAACCATAAAATTATTTTTGTTGCTACTTCATAACTGTAGTTTTGCTTCTGTTATGGACTGTAATGCAAATAGATGATACGCAGGATATCTGATATGCAACCCCAAAGGGGTCAAGACCCACAGGGTGAGAACCACTGCTCCAAGGGGTGGAAGGAGGGCCCAGGTCAAAGGTAGGGCATAAGGTAGGTCCGAAAGGAGTCAGGATGAGGCTAGGGGGCTGGGTCTTCTCCTCTTCAGAATCTGCTTCCAGATTCTGCAAGAGGCCATGGAAGATGTTCCTTTGTATAGACTGGTGCTTAGGAGCTCTTGTAATATTTTGACATAAATCATTATCTATTCACCCCCAAAATACTGAATGCTTACCACAGTGGCCAAAGCAAAGTCCGTAGAGAACCGCATGCTGGTGGTGGAAGGCAGACATAAAAAGTTAATAAATACATGATCCTCCAGGTGAGTGTAGTTGTCAGGGGCATAACTTCTGTGAAAGCAGGACGATGAGCAATGGGGGTACAGGCTGAGGAGAAGCAGAGGACATTGGAGTTGCTAGATGTGTCTCTACGCATGTGCGTGCACACACACGTATATACACGCATGTGAAAGACAGCGCTAATGATGGGTACTTTCCTCAGTCATTCTCCACTGAACCCATTGCCAGCAAGCCCCCGGGGATCATTCTGTGATCAGCCTCCTCAGTGATGAGTTTACAGGCAGCCATGGGCACACCTGGCTTTTTATTTCAATCTGAGTCTGGGGAGACAGAGCCCAGAGTCTCATGATTGTACTGCAAGCCCTTCACTGTCGAAACCGTCTCCTGAGCTCTGGAGTTGCTATTTAGTTTGGACACCAAAGGGAGGTTTCTCTGACAAGGTGATAATTGAACAGACAGCTAAACAGGGAAGAGAATTAAACCGAGCATAAAGAGTTGGGAAATGCTTAGCATGTCTTAGGGGAAGCAAAGGGTCTAGAGGAGCTAGATCAGGGCAAGCAAGGAGTGAGAGGTGGGAAGGCAAGGAAGTTGAAAAGAGATGGGGTTCAGACATCCGACATCCAGTGGATGCTGGCAGTTTTCCTCCGGTAACAATGAAGCCCTGAAAGATTTGGAACAGATACACCATGACTTTCAAGTGTCACTTGGGGTATGGTGTTGAGAGTGATGTTGAGGGGCTAAGATGGAGTGGGAGACCTGTCCTGAGACTCAGTATCAACCCCACAGAGCTGCTGCTGGGGTCAGACTTGAAAGCGGGCTGATGGAACTGGTTGATGGCTTGAATGGAGGACACAGGAGGAAAGGATGTAAGGACAGCAATAAGGATTTTAGCCTTTCCAGTTGGGAGGAACAGGTTTCGGGGGATGTACATCAAGTTGTTGTCTTTGGTTTTGCTAATCTGAGGTACTCATGACACTGATGAGGGTGTGAGGGCTCTGAGTTGTTATCTCATCTGAAGATAGGGATGAAGGACAAAACTGATGCTAAAAGCCTTTGGTACAGTTGGAGCTGGGAACAGCTTGCAAGGACAATTCAGAATCTGATGGCTTAAGGATGAATGAGCTGGGCATGCTGGCATCAGGACAGCTCCAGGTAGCAGGCACAAAGGTCAATGCAGCAACTGGAAACTGCTTCAAAGTCCTGAGCACTTTTATGACACCCTTCTGGTGCCTTCCCTCCCACTGCCTCGGCTGGAAGAACAGAGTCACTGACCAGATTGATAACTTGGGCTTGAGCATCCCCACCCCCAAAGCCTGCTGGGAATAGCTGTAACGCCACCCGCTTCGGGGGATCGTTTGGCATCTTGTTTCTTCTTCCCAGCTCAAGTTTCCTTTCTCCTGTTTCAATTGTTCCTGGCTGCAAATAAAAGTTTCCCCTGTTTGTTTTCCCTTCTTTCTGCCCACTCTGTTCTTGGAGGGAGGGCAAGACAAGCATCTCACTGGAGAACAGACAATCTCAGTGCGGTTGTAACAGGTGCGGTGAGCAGCAGAGCTCAGCATCTTTCTGCTTAGAAAACACTGACATGCTATTGACACGAAGTACAAATCCTTTCATGGAATGAAGAAGGCAAAGCTCATGGAAAGTCTGCTCGCTGTCAGGGGATGCCACATGATGCTTTTGAATGGTTGCACGAGAGCCTGAAACTGGCGATGGAAAGCTGGTTTAGGGCTGCTGCTCTTAGTACACAGAGGTGAGACCAGATCACTTTGAAGGCCAATTGGTCCTTGCAAGATTCCTGAATCGCATCCTGGAGGAAAGCTCTTGATATATCTTTTTTTTTTTTTTCTAGTGAAGACATTACTATAATTTGGGGGGAAGAAGGCAGAGCTACAAATAAAGATGTTTTAGTCCATGTTCAACAACTTATTTTTGTTCATTCCCTTGAAGAGCACTTTCTTGGCCAGGTTCGAATCATAAACCAAGAAATTGAAGGGTATAGAATACTTGCCAAGCACAAAGGCTCCTGAGAGCCTTCTTGTCCTGCTTCTCATTTCCTGGTCCGACATAGCAATCTGGGCTGGTGATGGAGGGCCTAGTTCTGACATCACAGCTGGCTTGATTGGTGGATGTTAATGACCTGAAAGAAACCCCTGCTTTTAGCCAGGCGTAGGAGTGCACATCTGTAACACCTGTACCTGATAGATGCAGCAAGAAGATCAAGAGTTCAAAGTCTTCTTCAGTGATAGTGAGTTCTAGGCCTACACGTTAATCACATTCTTCCTAAGCAAGATCTGATTTCAGCAAGAGTGCAGAGGCTCAAATTCCTGGTGGTTTATTGGCTTTTCCTGTGAATCAAGGCAGGTCCACAGTTCATTAGGCCCTAGCCTGCTCAACATTCAACATCTTTGCTCTTTGCATCATGGATTTAGTTCTTGAACAACACAGGAAAAGAGATGAGGAGGGGATGGCAAGGCTAGGGTATATGCTGATTCAAATGGCCTCCTTGAAACCTCATAACATTTCTGTGGCATGGGTTGACTTACTGCTCAAGCATGAGGAAACTCAGTCATACAGAGATACTTTACAGAACATCCCACACCCTGTGCTAGGGTATCTAAGGCTCATTTCTTCAACATTAGAATAAATGATTTCTTTTTCCTTGTGTTCAGGGTGAATGTAACACCTACTGCAACTGACATATGCCTGTCCCGTCCCTTGGTATGTGTAGGTTTCCTGCTACTAGGCCCCAGAGCAGAAGAGTTTTCTTTTGCTTCTTTTAAAATTAGGTATATTAATTATACCAAATGATGGGTCGCATTATGACATTTTCATATATGCACTTATATAATGCATTCCTATAGTATTTACCCTGTGACTGTCCTTATTTTCTATGCATGGCACTGATCTTTTTCCTCTTCCCAAATAGTCTCCAGTTTGCTTTCATTTCCTTCCTTTCTTCTCCCTCCCTCCCTCCCTCTCTTCCTTTCTTTCTCCCCAATCTCTCTCTCTCTCTCTTTTAATGTGACCCAATGATTTTAACAAGGGTTGCTTTCAGGAGCATGGTGAAGGATTATTTACTAGGGCATGCCATCTTACCAGTATCTACATCACTGAGAAAAATGCTCCCTTCTACCTTAGAACCCCTCAGCTGCCTACAGATCTTCAGTTAGAGATGGGGCCTTGTGGCCCATACTCATGGCAGGATAGAATGTTGATGGGCTCAGTCTTGTACAAATCTTTATTTTTAGTTTTCTTATTTACTTTTTATTCACAATCATAAACTTAACTCTGAAATCCAGCTAGACTTGGAGGGGAATGAGGAAAATATGGAACCCAAAGAATTTCAGTGAGAGCAGAGATTACAGGGTGCTTCGAGCAAATGGGGTGGGGATGCTTTCCTGAGCTACAGAAGGAAGGGTTTGGTGGGTAAGATACCCACAAGTCAAAAGAACTAGAGTTGTCCACAGTTAGAAATTGTGATCTTCTTGCTGGTCTTGCCATTCCTGAATCCAAAATGCTCCCTGGTTTTCACGATGTTCATGCCTTCATTCACCTTCCCAAAGGCCACATGCGTGCCATCCAGCCCCTCAGCCTTGGCAGTGCAGACAAAAAACTGGGAACCATTTGTGTCTAGACCAGCATTTGCCATGGATGCGATGCCAGGACCTCTATGCTTTAGGATGACGTTCTCAGCCTCAAATTTCTCCCTGTAGATGGACCTGCTGCCAGTGCTATTATGGCGTTTGAAGTCACCGCCCTGGCACATGTATCCTGGAATAATTCTGTGAATGGAGGAACCCTTATATTCAAATCCTTTCTCCCCAGTGCTCAGAGCACGAAAGCTCTCTGCTGTCTTTAGAACTTTGTCTGCAAACAGCTCGAAGGAGACATGGCCCAAGGCCTGGCCATCGGCCTCAATATTGAAGAACACGGTGGGGTTGACCATGGTTGCAGCAACTGGCGACAGGGCATCTGCAAAGCCCTTGTACAAATCTTATGTAGGCAATCTCAGCTGATGTGAGTTCATGAGTGTATGGTATAGATTGTTTTGATTCTCCTGCCCTCATCCACTCCTTTTCCTTGATAACAAGGCAGATCTACTTGCCCAGAACATAGTTACTTGGCCACACTTAGCTCAAGGAAGATTGATGTGTTAAATGGGCCATTTCTACCCTTAAAAATACGTTTTCAGATTATGAGACTGATGTGCTGCCTAGTGCACTAAGGAGGTGTCTCAACCAGCCTTGACATCAGGGTTTGTGCCTAATCTTATTGTAACTTGTCATGCTACATTCCATTGATATCACTGGGAGGCCTGCTCATTTCCAAAGGGAAACAAAGGAGAATCGGATCTGGAGTTGAGGGGAAGTAAGACAGGGAACTGGGAGGAGTGGGGGAGGGCAGGATGCAGTCTGGATGTATTGTATGAGAGAAGAATAAATAAAAATTAAAGAATTATTCTTTGAAAGTTTCATGTATTTATACAATGTATCTTGATCATGTTCATCTACCAGTCCCTACACCCAAATTCTTGTAGCCTCTAACCCCCCTCTCTGCTAATGTCATGTCTGTTTTTGTTTGTTATTAATAACTCCTTGAGTCCAATTGGTCCTGCCCATAGATGCGGGTGTGTGGCCATCCACTGGGGCATGAACAAACTTCTAGAAGTGTTGAAGATTATTAATATATTTAATATTGATTTATCTTTTAGTTAAACAGTGGCTGTTCCTAAACCAACTGTATACCCAAATTACCACACAGAAACTAGGATTTATTTAATTAACCTAGAGCACAATGCTGGGCAATAATTACTCCATCCTAAACTCCAAGCCCTCAAAGCTTCCTCCCATTCAGATTTCCCACAGTATACTTGCTTTTTGGTCCTATCTTAGGTCTAGTTCATTTCTCCTGATGTTTCCCAGTTCTCTCCTCTTGAATCTCTCCCCCCACTTCTTCTTTCTCCTCCCCTCTGGACCAGCATGTCCCACCTTATTCTCTCCATTGCTCAGCACTGGCTGGTTGTCTTATTGAAATTGCAGAGAACAAATGGTGGCATGTTTACACAAACTTGAGATGCTTATTCTAAGCATCACAATGTAATGTCTGCATTGAAACCAGAGAGTGGGGTAGAGAAATCGGCATTTGAATGAGCAAGGGTAAATTGTATACATTCCACAAGAACATTATACCAACAAAAAAGAGTCCAAATAAGAATGGCTCTCTTTACTTCAGCTGCCATCAACTGCCAACAGCTCCTCTTGCAGCGGTGGAGTCTCAGGGTCCCCTCCCCCATTTATGCTAAAATTTTAACTAGTAACCACAGCTGCTGGGTGCTGTGCATCAGCCATGTTAGGTCCATAACCCAGTGTTACACAGATCTCCTCCATCTCTAGCTCTGGCATTTCTTAATCTCCCTATTATATGAAGTTCCTTGAACCATACATAGATGATGACAGCTTGGTATAGACAACTCACCCACAACTGAGCATTCAGGGTTATACTTTGCTCAGTATAGCACTGCCCTTGTCACTTCGCCAGTTAAGAATGGGAGGAGGTCCTCCCCTATCAGTGGACTGGGGGAGGGGCATGGGAGGAGATGAGGGTAGGGACTACAGCTGGGATACAAAGTGAATAAATTGTAATAAACAAAAAAGTGTATTAAAAAAACAAACAAACTACTACTGTATTTACTACAGCCCACCGTAGGAAAAAGCGTTTCTGAACAAAGCTGAGAACAGCATAGATCTATGGCTATAAACAAATATTTAGACTTCAGTTTGACTGCATAACCACTGTGGTAATTTGAATAAAAATGCCCCCCTTAGGCCCACAGGAAGTGGCGCTATTAGAAGGCGTGGCCTTGTTGGAGTGGGTGTGGTCTTACTGGAGGAAGGGTGTCACTGGGGGGGGGGGGGGCAGGCCCTGAGGTTTAAGAAGCTCAATCCAGGCCCATTGTCATTCTTTCTTCCTGTTGCCTGCCTGATCCAGATGTAGCGCTCTCAGCTCCTTCCCTCCCCTCCAACCCCTCCCAATCCTGCACCACATCTGCCTGCATGCTGCCATGCTTTCTGCAATGATGACAATGGACTAACCTCTGAGCTGTAAGCAAGCCCCAATTAATTTTTTTTTCTTTATAAGAATTGCTGTGGTCATGGTGTCTCTTCATAGCAATAGAAACCGTAACTAAGACAACTACCTAGCAAAACAATAGTAGGATTCTCCCTAGGGCCTAAGATCTCCCCAGCCGTGGACTTTTGGCCAGGTGTAAAGTATGAGGCATGAAATTCTTCCGAGAATCAGGTCTCATATCCAAGCAGAAGGCAGTTGGTTATCTCCATAGACATCATACCAGTGGGCGCTTGTTTCAAGCAGGCCAGAGATTGTAACATGCAGAGTTAAGTGCCGGGTTAGACCCTTGAAGTCTTTTTTTTTTTGTTTGTTTGTTTGTTTTGGTTTTTAAAATTTTTATTAATTACACTTTATTCATTTTGTATCCCCCCATAAGCCCCTCCCTCCTCCCCTCCCGATCCCACCCTCCTTCCCCTTTCTGCATGCATGCCACTCCCCAAGTCCACTGATAGGGGAGGTTCTCCTCTCCTTTCTGATCTTAGTCAGTTCTCATCAGAAGTGGCTGCATTGTCCTCTACTGTGGCCTGGTAAGGCTGCTCCACCCTCAGGGGGAGGTGATCAATGAGCAGGCCAATCAGATTATGTCAGAGGCAGTCCCTCTTCCCATTACTAGGTAACCCATTTGGACACTGAACTGCCATGGGCTACACCTGTGCAGGAGTTCTAGGTTATCTCCACGAATAGTCCTTGGTTGGAGTATGAGTCTCTGGGAAGTTCCCTGTGTTCAAATTTTCTTGTTCTGTTGCTTTCCTTGTGGAGACCCTGTCCTCTCCAGCTCTTACTGTTTCCTACTTCTTACATAAAATTCCATTCACTCTGCCCAACAGTTGGCCATCAGGCTCAGCATCTGCTTTGATAGTCTGCAGGGCAGAGGCTTTCAGAGGCCCTCTGTGGTAGGTTCCTAGTTTGTTTCCTGTTTTCTTCTTCTGGCTTTCAGAAGCCCTCTGTAGAAGGTTCGTAGGTTGTTTCCTGTTTTCTTCTTCTTCTGATGTCCATCCTCTTTGCCATTCAGGATGGGGATTGACCGTTTTAGTTAGGGTCCTCTCTCTTGCTTAGTTTCTTTAGATGCACAGATTTTAGTGGGTTTGTCCTATGTTGTATGTCTATATGAGTGAGTATATACTGTGTGTGTCTTTTTGCTTCTGGGACAACTCACTCAGGATGATCCTTTCCAGGTCCCACCATTTACCTGCAAATTTCATGGTTTCCTTATTTTTCATTGCTAAGTAATATTCCATTGTGTAGATGTACCACAGTTTCTGCATCCATTCTTCAGTTGAGGGGCATCTGGGTTGTTTCCAGCTTCTGGCTATTACAAATAAAGCTGCTACAAACATGGTTGAGCAAATGTCCTTTTTGTGTACTTGAGCCTCTTTTGGATATATGCCTAGGAGTGGTATGGCTGGATCTTGGGGAAGCGCTATTCCTAGTTGTCTGAGAAAGTGCCAGATTGATTTCCAGAGTGGTTGTACAAGTTTACATTCCCACCAGCAGTGGAGAAGGGTTCCTCTTTCTCCACAACCTCTCCAGCATGTGTTGTCACTTGAGTTTTTTATCTTGGCCATACTGATGGGTGTAAGGTGAAATCTCAGGGTTGTTTTGATTTGCATTTCCCTAATGGCTAATGAGGTTGAGCATTTCTTTAAGTGCTTCTCTGCCATTCGATATTCCTCTACAGAGAATTCTCTGTTTAGCTCTGTTCCCCATTTTTTAAGTGGATTTCTTGGTTTGCTGCTTTTCAGCTTCTTTAGTTCTTTATATATACTGGATGTGAGTCCTCTGTCAGATAATGGGTTGGTGAAGATTCTTTCCCAATCTGTAGGCAGTCGCTTTGTTTTGATGACGGTGTCCTTTGCTTTGCAGAAGCTTTTCAGTTTCATGAGGTCCCATTTATTGATTGTTGCTCTTAGAGCCTGTGCTGTTGGTGTTCTGTTCAGGAAGTTATCTCCTGTACCAATGAGTTCTAGGGTATTCCCCACTTTTTTTTCTAGCCGATTTAATGTGTCTGGTTTTATGTTGAGGTCTTTGATCCACTTGGATTTCAGTTTTGTGCAGGGTGATAAGTATGGATCTATTTTCATTTTTCTACATGTAGACATCCAGTTCGACCAGCACCATTTGTTGAAGATGCTATCTTTTTTCCATTGTATGGTGTTGGCATCTTTGTCAAAGATCAGGTGTCCATAAGTGTGTGGGTTTATTTCTGGGTCCTCTGTTCGGTTCCATTAATCCACCATTCTGTTTCTATGCCAGTACCATGCAGTTTTTAAAACTGTTGCTCTATAGTACAACTTAAGATCAGGGATGGAGATACCTCCAGAAGATATTTTATTGTAGAGGATTGTTTAATCAATTCTGGGTTTCTTGTTATTCCATATGAAGTTGAGAATTTTTCTTTCCAGGTCTGTAAAGAATTGTGTTGGTAATTTGATGGGAATTGCATTGAATCTGTAGATTGCTTTTGGTAAGATGGCCATTTTTACTATGTTAATCCTGCCAAGCCATGAGAATGGGAGATCTTTCCATCTTCTGATATCTTCTTGAAGTCTCTTTTTTCTTCCAGCAGCCCCTGAAGCACCTCCTCCCACTTCCGGCATTACCTAAGCGACGTAGCCGAGAGTGAGTTGTTAATTCAAGGTAGATTTCTCTACGTACCGGCGACTTTAGCAATACTGCCTTACCAGCTAGAGCAATGCAATACCCTGTGTTTGTTATTTTGTGTTTCCGGGGCCTCCCTCACCGGTAATTCATAGAGAGGTGACCCATGGCTGGCACTGGGAATTTTATTAAATCATCCATCTCTTCTGTGAGAAGTGTTCT